TTATAAAATTTGATCAGAGTCATGCCATTGTAAGATTGGAAGCAAAATCAAAATTGAGTTTACAGCTACCCGTCATGTCTAACGGGAAGCTCAAGCCTATAGCCGAAGGATATCCTTCGGCTCAAACGTTATAACCAGGGCGTGGAGCTGCCAAGTTTTGTCTGGGTAGCGAAACATGACCATGCGGGGGCTCGATTTGCAGTCCGAACCGTTCAAAACGTGAGAGCGTCAAGCCTTTGGCCGGTTGATGGCGAGCTCACAGTATGGTGTTCGTTGCCGAGTTGTTGTGAGCCCTCTTGTCTAGCGACGGTTGTCGTCAGGTGGCGTGACGTACACCGCATTGCTGCCTTCAATGATAGCGCTGAGTTTAATCATCAGAAATATTTACTCCACACATGGAAGTTAGAGCACGAGTCATCCACCCACGCAATGAAGACCGTCGAGTGATTTAACGTACTACGAGGCGGCGCGCTGCAAATAAACGTTTTTTAAAGGTGCAGTATTTTCCACATGCAGGTAGCGCTCGGCCCACCAAAATGTACATTGTTGCGCTCGTAGATGCCTTTGTGTAACAATTTTTTGATATCATCTCTTTTTGGCTGCCTTAGTTAATATGTTGTTCTGGTTTATATTGTACACTTCACGGATTATAAAAAAACTCGAACCACATACCATACGATCTTTCGTAAGAAGGTAGTATGGTATTTTGTTTTTTCGGCCGGGGGCCACCGAAGAATTGTTACTACGTATAACTGTTATACGTAGTAACAAGTCTTTTTTGAAAGCATCCAACATGCAAAGTTTTCTTAAGCATGTTTAAAAACGACCTAGTAGTGCGTGAGCGAGAAATGCATGGATCTTACTATTCAACGTAAATCTGGTGTAGTGAATTCGAGGGTTTCACCTTGATATGACCGCAGTTAAGGTGTCGCGACGGTGACCCACACGAACCACAGGTAATGGGTTGTCCACATCACGACGAGTCAAACTTCACACAGAGTATGTGCGGTTCTAAAGACTAAATGATCAACTGCTTCGTGTCCGATGGCCGTTGGACACGGACCCACACTTCACTTTGACTCCTACGTTTGCCTCAAAAGGCGTACACACTAGATCAATACATTAAGCTCAAGCTCCTATCGGATCGCCATCCGCACTGCCGTCCCCTGATGGGATGTTATCCCCGGGATTCACTACATCTGAACAACATTATTGCTCTGACTTGCGTACATATCGGTTATTAAAGGTGTTGATTGCGAATTATGGCTTTTGCTACACCTTTTCGCTGCGTGTGTAGATCTAACTATCATTTCAGTGACTTACTTTGTGGTGTGCAACCCTTTTTTCGTATTAATTGCCAATAATTGGTACAATACTGTATTGTATTGGAATCGTTGATCTTCAATTATAAAATTTAATATTACAAAAACAATTGTTTATTGGATCGCAATTATTATTTCGGACCTCTGTCATAAAGCACCTCCAGTTGATGTTCTTTCTTTTTCAAGACCAGCATCGCTGTCTACAGCAGAATTTCCGTTGATTACAGCTCGTCAAAGAATTTACGAGACGAAAGAGGACTATAACTACAATATTGCGTATCCTTTCGTCGGCCGTGCAGTATATTAGTGGCCAACTTGTCCACTTCAAGTGAGACTTGGACCACGGACAAGATAACAAGTCGACTCTATTAGACCAAGCACACAAGACAACCTTAACTTGCTCGGCTTTGTTTATCAACCCTCGATCAACATAGCGGAGCAACCTAAGGTTGTTTTCTCTGGTGTAAAAGAATGTGTATGGTGAATGGAAGAGTCTTGATTCAAGACATCACATATAATTCGAGATTGTAGGACCCTGGCTCCTGCTGACTCTCAAGCGCCGATGTTTGAACCGCTTAGCGGACAATACGAACCCACTGGCATGTGCCACGTGCTTGTTTTACATGAAGTTTCATGGCCAAGTTCTGAGTGCTGGAAATTGGTATTGGCCACTGATTCACAAGCGTCGGTTTTCCTTGTGTATGTTCAATGTTTTACGGCATACAGTACGGCACTACGCAGTGCAATAAATTAGCAACAATATAACTTACGGCAGCCTGTTTTTATTGTTTCTCCATGAGCTGGTACGAGAACTTGACAACGATCCAATACAGCACGAGTGGGGGTTGGTATACCGGGGCGAGCTGCTCTACTACAACTCCAGAAGTCAAACATTTAGCAGCATAAGTTTCTGTCAAAAAACAGTAGCATCGCTACGGTCCATTTAAACACACAATTTGAGAACGCTCTAGCTATTACGACGGGGGCGAAAAGAAGCAAGCGTTCGTCTTGCTAAATTTCCGTTTGGGTGTAGTTGCGACCATTGACAAAGGGGCTTGAAGTCAGGACCTCAGTGTAGTACAGTTTACGGCTGGCTGACGACAGGGCTCGGAGTGGGGGTCTGTGGGATCTTGGTGTAGTACAGCTTGCGGTCGTTGGCAGCAGGGCTTGGTGTGGGGGGTTGTGGGATCTTGCTGTAGTAGAGTTTGCGGATGTTAGGCGTGTTCTCGTGGGTGTCAGCTTCAGCCAAGACATTAGCCGGGGCGCGGCACAGCGTGGTGGCGATGGCGGCAATAACGAGGGTCTTGACGAACTGCATAGCTGGAGCTGGTAGGACTTGATGCGCGCTAGGTAAATTCAAGAATGACCGAGTGCGAGCGCCATGTCCAATGGAGCCAGCCTAGTGCAGCCGTTCTGCTGGAAGCTACTTGGACGCACGCAACAGAAGAGAACTTATCTTCTTAGATGAGGTTGAGTATACCGTTCGTATACTAATATCATTAAATGATCAAATTGTGATAGACTCATGCGTTTTGGCTAAACGGAGCCCAGAGACTATATAGATATCACACTTTTACTGTTGATTTCGGGTTATAGAGTATTTTGCCATCCTTGTTGGTTAAATGGAGTTCGAAAACTACTTCAAGCATCACTAGTTATTGAGATATGGTTACGGGATACGGGGCTGGAGGTGATACGGCAAGCTGATGACTCCCATGACTACAATACGAAACATTTTGTCGTCAACTCGCGTGTATCGTCATCGCCGACAACTTTGTTCAGATGGTACAGTAGAACGACAATTTTCACGTGATATTCCGAATATAACGTGTTCTAGCTTACCCGGGCGACAAGCGTCCCAGGGGAAGGTCGCAGTTCATAAGGCTGAAAATCTTGATCAAGATCGGGTGATATGTAAGAGCATTAAACGCGTGTCGTGTGTGCAGTTTGTTAGGTCTTAGTACACTTTAAGAATTTTTTTTTATAGTTTTTATCATCCTCCGCAAATTGCAAGGAGGTATAGTACTCGGTAGGCCGTGGCGGTGGCTTCGCCGGCTCGTCGGGGCCCGAATATGACACGATGCACTTATCCGTGGCCTTGCACACCTATGGAGCTATTGCACACAGCCTAGCAGTGCGTAGCGGCGTATTCGCGATGTTCAGGCGGCATGCCGACTGTACGCCCCGTATAGCGATCGGTAGGCCGTGGCGGTGGCTTCGCCGGCTCGTCGGGGCCCGAATATGACACGATGCACTTATCCGTGGCCTTGCGCACCTATGGAGCTATTGCACACAGCCTGCGGTGTATTCGCGATGTTCAGGCGGCATGCCGACTGTACGCCCCGTATAGCGATCGGTAGGCCGTGGCGGTGGCTTCGCCGGCTCGTCGGGGCCCGAATATGACACGATGCACTTATCCGTGGCCTTGCGCACCTATGGAGCTATTGCACACAGCCTAGCAGTGCGTAGCGGCGTATTCGCGATGTTCAGGCGGCATGCCGACTGTACGCCCCGTATAGCGATCGGTAGGCCGTGGCGGTGGCTTCGCCGGCTCGTCGGGGCCCGAATATGACACGATGCACTTATCCGTGGCCTTGCGCACCTATGGAGCTATTGCACACAGCCTAGCAGTGCGTAGCGGCGTATTCGCGATGTTCAGGCGGCATGCCGACTGTACGCCCCGTATAGCGATCGGTAGGCCGTGGCGGTGGCTTCGCCGGCTCGTCGGGGCCCGAATATGACACGATGCACTTATCCGTGGCCTTGCGCACCTATGGAGCTATTGCACACAGCCTAGCAGTGCGTAGCGGCGTATTCGCGATGTTCAGGCGGCATGCCGACTGTACGCCCCGTATAGCGATCGGTAGGCCGTGGCGGTGGCTTCGCCGGCTCGTCGGGGCCCGAATATGACACGATGCACTTATCCGTGGCCTTGCGCACCTATGGAGCTATTGCACACAGCCTAGCAGTGCGTAGCGGCGTATTCGCGATGTTCAGGCGGCATGCCGACTGTACGCCCCGTATAGCGATCGGTAGGCCGTGGCGGTGGCTTCGCCGGCTCGTCGGGGCCCGAATATGGCACGATACACCTAACCGTGGCCTTGCGCACGTATGGAGCTATTGCACACAGCCTAGCAGTGCGTAGCGGCGTATTCGCGATGTTCAGGCGGCATGCCGACTGTACGCCCCGTATAGCGATCGGTAGGCCGTGGCGGTGGCTTCGCCGGCTCGTCGGGGCCCGAATATGACACGATGCACTTTATCCGTGGCCTTGCGCACCTATGGAGCTATTGCACACAGCCTGCGGTGTATTCGCGATGTTCAGGCGGCATGCCGACTGTACGCCCCGTATAGCGAT